TAAGTGTGTCTAAAAAGTAAAAAATTTGCATAAAATATTAAAAAAATTCAGTAAAAACAAAAAAACACGAAAAATAAGAAAGTAAAATTTTCTGAAAACTGTTTTTAAAAAATGGGTCTTTGCTAATACCAGACAGAGTAGAAACATGATCAGCTCCATTGTAGTTAACGGCGTGTCTTATGAGGATCCTAGCAGGGTTCAATTACAAGTCTACCAACACTTCAAGAAATTGTTCACTGAGGATTGGGTCAAAAGACCCGTCTTGGGAGGGCCATTCAACACCATTGAGGCAGACTATGTTTCTCATCATCTTATTGCAGAATTCAGTGAAGCCGAGGTGTTGGCTGCAATTAAGGATTGTAATACTAACAAAGCCCCAGGCCCCGATGGTTTCAATCTGTTGTGTTATCAGAAATTTTGGAAGATTATGAAGCCTGAGATCATGCAATTCTTTGCAGACTTCCACACAAATAGCAAACTGACTTGTGGGATTAATAGTACTTTCATTAGTTTAATTCCTAAGTTGGAAAATCCCTCCGGCCTATCTGATTACAGACCTATTAGTCTTGTAAGCTCCCTTTACAAAATTTTGGCAAAAGTGTTAACACATAGACGAAAGCCAGCTCTATCCTCAATTATTAGTGAAGCTCAAACTGCTTTCATAGGTGGAAGGAACATCCTTGATGGGGTGTTCATTGCCAATGAAGGGGTGGTCTGATCTTAAAGCTAGATTTTGAAAAAGCTTTCGATTCGGTTAACTGGGAGTTCTTGTTCTCTCTGTTGTCTAGTTTTGGGTTTGGAAACAAATGGATTTCTTGGATGAAGACTTGTGTATCTACAGTCAGGATTTCCATTCTTGTGAATGGAGCTCCAACTAAGGAATTCTCATCACAAAAAGGGCTTAGGCAGGGCGATCCGCTATCACCTTTCTTATTCAATATTGTGGCTGAGGGGTTAAACATTCTTTTGGTCAAAGCAATTAATCTTGGCATTCTTAGAGATGTTCATATTGGGTCTAAAGATGTCCTTTTGTCTCATCTACAATTTGCAGATGATTCAATTCTCTTTTCTGAGGCTGATTGGGATCAAATGGTACTTATCAAAAGAATTCTTAGATGCTTTGAAGTTCTATCTGATCTTAGAATTAATTATCACAAAAGTGTGGTGTGTGGTGTTGGTGTGTTTGATGCTTCATTGCTCTCCTTTGCACATCTTCTTAACTGTAAAGTTCACAGCCTTCCTTCGAAATTTCTAGGACTGCCTCTAGGTGCCAATCCTGGTAAAAAATCTACCTAGAAGCCTGTGCTTGACAAGATCAGATCTAAACTTTCAGGGTGGAAGAGGAAACCGTTATCTTTTGCAGGTAGATTAACTCTAATCAAGTCTACCCTATCTAGTTTACCACTTTTCTTTCTTTCTTTATTTAAGATGCCAGAAGGTGTGGCGAGAGAACTTGAAAAGATTGAGGCAGCTTTTTTATGGGGCAGTAATGATCTTAAAAGGAAAGTTCACTTAGTGAAATGGGGGGAGGTAACTAAAAGCTTTGAACAAGGGGGCCTGGGTATCAGAAGAATCAGAGATGTTAATGCTTGTCTATTGCTCAAATGGTGGTGGAAATTCGGAACTCAAGTCAACTCTCTTTGAAGGAGAGCTATATGCAGCAAATACAATATTGATGAGGCTAGTTGGCATCCACCTTTAAAGTTCTCTTACAAACATTCTAGAGTTTGGAAGGACATTTTATCTATTGGGAATCATAGCACAAATATTTACAATTTCTATATAGATAACTACCAAAATTAAATTTTGGCATGACAGTTGGTGTGGCAGCTCTAGTCTTAAGTCTACCTTTCCCCTTCTCTTTAATCTTTCAATAGATAAAGAAGGCTCTCTACAACAATTCGTGGCAAGAAAAACCAGTCCAAACAATTGGAATTTTCCTCTTAGGAGAGTGCTTTTCACTTGGGAATTAGATGAAGAAGCTAACTTACTTGGACTACTTTCATCAGCTCTCTCTCTCTCACTTGGCAGGGCTGATCATCTTATCTGGGCTACTACATCTGTAAGTCCTGGTGTATTTTCTGTGTCCTCTCTCTACTCTGCTACTAGCTCTATTTTAGGGCCTCACTTTAAAATATGTAAGCATATTTGGAATGGGGCTGTCCCCCCTAAGGTTTCATTCTTTAGTTGGCTGGCTTGGAAAAACAGAATCAAGACAGCAGTATTTATGCACAGAATTGGAATTTTAGATGTTTCTGCTTCCTTCATCTGCCCATTCTGTTGTTCTGAACCTGAATCTGCTGTCCACATCTTGCTTCATTGCCCATTTTCTTGGTTGATTTGGTCGTCTATAATTAATGAGTGGGGGTTCTCTTGGTGCATACAAGGTTCAATGGATGATCACCTCCAATGGTGGATGACTGTTAATTTCAAGAATATTGATAGGTTAATTTGGAGAGCCATCCTCCTTAATGTTCTTTGGTCGCTTTGGAAACTTAGGAATGAATGTGTTTCTACAGAGGCTCAACCTAACTTCCCTGGTTTGAGTGAAAATATCAAAATCAGAGCAGCACTTTGGCTGAAAGCATTAATTAAGGACCTTCCCTATTCAGTTGATGATTTAACTTTCAATTGGCCTGAAATCAGAGGATGTTCTTAACTGTTTTGAGCTGGTTTGTATTGGTCTGTGCTAGTATGTTCTGGGCTCTGGTCTGTTGTCTGATCTCTGGGTTTGTATTGATGTTCTGATGTGTTCAGCTGGTAGGCAGAGGAGTTTGTTATATTATTAGTTTTCTGTGCTTGTAATTGATTCAGCTGGTGAATGAAGGAGATGGGGGTAGTATGTAGTTTGTAGTCTGTTGGAGCTTTGGATTGATGTGTTCAGTTGTTTTGTTTCTAGGGTTTTGTGCATGGAAGAGTAACTGTTTAGCTTCTAGTGTTGAGCTCTGTTGTATCTGCTCTGCTGTTCTGGATGACACTCAGATGAAGCTGGTATGGTTGTGTTGAGACTGTGGGTGCAATTGGTGCTTTGATGTCTGTTGTGCTGGTCCCAGTTATGCGTAGGCTGTTGATAGGCTGTTGTTAGTATTGTTGTTAGTGTCACTTTGGGGTGTTGTGTGTATGAATCTATTGGTCTGCTGGTATCCTAAGGTGAGCTTGCTGTTAGGCTGCAAATCAAGTCATGTGTGTGATCCGATCCAATCTGCGGGGGTTCTAGGACTGGGATACTAGCATGCTAAGGTGAGCTTGCTGCTAGGCTGTTGGTCTAGTCCTGTGTGTGATTGAATCTGTTGGCCTAGAATCTGGCTATAAGTTTCTGGGTTGGGCGGCCTGTTGAGCTTCCTGCTAGGCTGCCAATATGGATAGAATCTGTTAGTTCTGCTTCTGGCTGAATCTGTTAGAATCTGTGTATTGCTGATCTGCTTCTGCTGCTTCTGTCTTGCTGATCTACTACCAAGGCCACAACTGATCTGTTCTGCTTTGCCCCTAAGTGGATTGATCTGTTTTGTTTGTTTGTTTTTTTATTTTTATTTTTTTTATTTTGCTCTACATGTTGGTTACTCACCAACTTCGAGCTCAGAGTTTGTGCTAGCAGATGATTTGGTGTGCATCTAGGTGCCAACCTAGTTGAGATCTGAATGTTTCACTGTGATACTTTTTGCACCCTCCTTTTTATTGTTGTTCGTTTTCATACTCTGTTTGTTTGTTCATCAATAAAGCTTCTTTTTTTGCCGATAAAAAAAAAACATCAACAAAATCAATCTGATTTTTTATGACAGCTGACAATAGATTAAATTTGATCCAAAATTGAATAGTTTATGTGTAAAATTGAAATTAAAAGATTACATATTGAATTGATTTTTTAGTTATTGTTTAGAGGGGAAATGAAATTTTTCTAAATAAAAAGCACGTGTTATGTTCAAATAAAATGATTTTTGGACCCCAAAATTAGGCAAGGCTAACTTATAAGTGTGCTAAAGCATTCATATCAGCTTCAACGAATGTAAATTTCGGTTAAATATAACTAGGAGATTATAAAATTCTTATTCTATCAGTCTCAACAAATTATTTCGAAACTAACTTTTGGTTAACTTGGCTATATCGCTACATGTAGCGATACACTGTTCACATGTTATACAATAATTTTTCATTTATTCTTAAGAGTGACCGGACATCTTGCCGGACGACCGGCTGCTGCATAATTTTTTTTTTTTTATAAAGAATATGAAATTGTATAGACATATCTTATACACTTTGATCTTCAGCCCAACAACCTCTACTTGGCACAATTTATTTATTTATTTATTTTAAGATATGAAATTGCATAGATATAATAACAATATAGGAGTTTTGAATGTCCAGCTCGACACCATGGGCATTTTTTTATTTAGGGAATTTCAAACTGCATATATATAAATTAACAATACAAAATTAATGTTTTATAAAACTAAATTTAGAATAAAGGGTCTGATGAAATATGTATATAAAAAAATGCTAGCTAAACTAACAAAATATAGCTTTTTTGTTATAATTTGACTCAAAATTTATTGAGACTGATACGGATACTTTTAAAAGCCAAATATTTTTCAAAACGATCAATATTTCTTCTCTCTGAAGTTGATTATAAAAAATAATCAATAATTGTATTAAAAATATTATCACTTGTAAAATCTCTTACATATATTTCATTGTCAAAATTTAATTAGTAATTTTGCCTGTTGAAAATTAAGAAAAAATGAATTAAAAAAAAAAAAGAAACTTCTTAAAAGAAATTAAGTAGTGATTATTTAAATCAAAATTAAAATTTCTAAATCCTTCATTCGAGATTTCGGTTGAGACTCGGCGGATAATTGGGTCGCCACTACTATAGAGTGGTCATTGCATAATTTAATATGCAAGTCAAACCATTGTTAATTCGCACGGCATTCAATGAACTCCATACCAACTTCTTGTTAGACCTCCTTGCAGTATCATTCATAGCTATATATATTTTCTTTTGGTTTTCTCCTAACATCATAGAATTACCGTATAATTTTTCTCTCTATCTTTCGTTGTCGATGGATCTTCATCTTAAGATTTGGTTTATAGTGTCGCTAATACCATTAGTTGCAAACTTGCAACATTCAGTTCATGCTACACCAGAGGTGCCTTGTTTATTTATCTTTGGAGATTCATTGGCCGATAATGGCAATAATAATTACCTTTCAACTATAGCAAAAGCCAATTACCAGCCATATGGTATTGATTTCTCTGATGGACCTACTGGAAGATTTTGCAACGGTCGAACTATGTCAGACATCATTGGTCTCTTCTTACTCTATAATTATTATCATTAAGATTTTGGACTTGAATGTATTTTTGTTGGCATTGCTCATAGGAATAACTTTTTATCCATGGCATTTGTTCTAAACATTTCTTACATGTCCAAAATCTACAAAAAAAAACTTTTTCAAACGCCAACAAAACAAGTTTTTCATACAATAATGTTATGATCTTAAGATGGTAGAGTTGGATGTTCATCTAATTTTTGTTGGACATAAGACTACCATCATAAGATTATTCAATCTTTATTTGGACATAATTATGGTGCTCATATAAACTATACTTCACCTTCCAGGTCAACGTTTAGGTTTTGATCATTTTATTCCACCGTTTGCAACCGCTAGAGGCAGAGACATTCTCATGGGTGTAAATTATGCTTCAGGTGGTGGTGGTATTCGCGATGAGACCGGAATGCAATTGGTAGTCATCTTTTTACTTTTGTACACACTATTGTGCGTGAGGGAATCTAACCTCACTATTCAAAAAAGAAAGTTGTGCCTGGTTAAAAAAACAACTCTTTTATGTGCACCGGACAATACTTTGGTGAGAATCCACCTCTATGTAAGAGGGTTATGTCAGATTTTGGGGGTATTTGTTTCAGCTTTTCAGAGCCAACTTATGGCTTTTAGCTTTGAAAAAGTTATTTTAGACTGTTTGGTTAAACTTATTTCAAACAGTTTCTGATTTTAACAGCTTGCTTCTGATTCTAACAGCTTATTTTAACTCAAAAAAGCTGATTCCGAGAAGCTGCTCACCCTTTGCTTCTGATTATCAGCTTCTTGAAGAAGTATGCTCATCCTCTGCTCATGGACATCAGTCCTCCTCTGCTCACTGCACTACTCACTGCACTCAGATTTCATCACCATCTGCTCATGGCCAGCTGTCTTTGTCTGTTAGACCTGCACCATCACAGATCTGTAACTCTAGTGGAATTAGTTGTGGTGGTTAGACTAGTTTGTTATGAGTTAGTTAATTTGTTTAGAGTTAGTTTTAGGTTAGATATTTTGTATGCTTTAGATACTGTATATAAACCAATGTACCCAACAGATTTGAAATAATGAAAAATATAATAAGTTTCCAAGAATCTCATTATGGTATCAGAGCTCTGAAGCTCTCGTGAGCAAGATCCATAGGTCTCTAATGGCTGATTCTTCCCTGCCATCAAATCTTCGTTTACTAATTTCAAATTTCAACTCTCTCATTACAGTGAAGCTCGAATCCAACAATTTCCTCATATGGAAATCTCAAATGACAAATATGCTTAGAGCATCTGGCTTTCTTGATCATGTTAATGGATCTCATCCATGTCCGTCTCCAGATCTTATTGATGAGACTGGAAAACCTGTTTCAAATCCAAGTTATGTGCAATGGCAATTGGTTGATGCACATTTGCTTACTTGTCTAACTGCAACTCTTTCTTCATCCATTTATTCATCTGTTCTTCATCTGACTCAAAGTGATCAGGTATGGCAATTCTTAGAGAAGCAGTTTACTTCAGTTTCCCGCTCTCATATCCATCAACTAAAAACCAAACTTCAAACTCTGCGTAAGAAATCATCTTCAATGGAGGTCTATCTCTCTCAAATTAAAGATCTTGCAGCACAGCTGGCTTTAGCTTCTGCAAAAATTGATGATGAAGATCTGGTTTTCTTCACTTTGAATGGTCTACCAGAGGAATATGAGGCTTTCAAAACTTCTATTCGTACTCGATCTGAGCCTATCCAAATGGAAAATTTGTGTTCATTGTTATGCTCCGAATCCATTCATATTGCACAGAAACTTAAACAGTCTCCTGGCACTGATCTTCATGTTGCCTATTCTGCCTCACAAGGATCATCTTCATCAGGTTATGATTCTTCAAATTCTGTTAATAGAGGTTTTCACTCTGCAAGGGGCAGAGGTTCCTCTCGTGGCTTCAGAGGCAGATATAATATTTCTCGTGGTGGCAGATTCAATAACAGATACAACAATAACAATCATAATAATAACAGATCCAGAGGAGCCTTTTCCTTCAACTCTGGATCTAACTCTGGCTGCCAGATTTGTGGAGGTTGGAATCATACTGCTTTTGATTGCTGGCATCGACTGGATCCTACATTTCAGCCTTTCTCTGGCAGCAGTTCCTCTCAGTCAAAGGCTTATGCTGCTTCAGTTCCTCAGTCATATGCTGCTTCAGTTCCTCAGTCCTCTTCTGATCCTTCCATACCTCCTTGGTATGTTGACTCTGCTGCTACCAATCATCTGACCAATGACTTGACTAATCTGCAACAATTTCAGCCTTATCAAGGTCAGGATCATGTTCAAGTTGGTAATGGCTCTTCCTTACAAATCAGTCATATCGGTAAAGGTATTTTGCCAACTCCGCATTATTCTTTTCCTCTTTCCAATCTTCTTCATGTTCCAGCTATTTCTTCAAACCTTTTATCTGTGCATCAACTCACCAAAGACCTCAACTGCCTTGTTATTTTTGATGCTAATACTTTTGTCATTCAGGACAAATGCACGAACAAGATTCTGCATAGAGGTGTTAACATCAATGGTCTTTACCAGTTCATTCCTTCATCTGAACCATGCTCTTCTCCTCAAGTTTTTCACTCTAGCACTACTGCTCCTCTGTCTGATAGCAGTCCAACAGATAGCACTCCAACAACTCTGTTTCAGTCCAGCAATTCAGCATCTGTGCCTGATTTGCTGTGGCATCAAAGATTAGGCCATCCATCTTCTTTAAAGCTTCAGCATCTGGCTGATGTTTTACCACATAAATTGTCTTTCAATAAGGCCTTGTCTTGCCTTGATTGTAATATGTCTAAATCTCATAGACTTCCTTTCACATTGTCTAATACTTTTGTCAATTGTCCTTTTGCCTTAGTTCATAGTGATGTATGGGGTCCCTTTATAGTAGATGATGCTCCATTTCGTTTCTATGTTTTGTTTGTGGATGACTATAGTAGATTTACTTGGGTTTATCCTTTGTACTACAAGAGTGAGGTGTATGATAAATTGCTTATATTCAAAGCATATATTGACAATCAATTTCAGACTTCTCTTAAAATACTTAGGACTGACTGTGGCACTGAATTTGTCAATAAAAGAATTGATACTTTGCTGTCTTCTCATGGCATTGTTCATCAAAGGAGTTGTCCTTATACTCAGGCCCAAAATGGCATAGCTGAACGCAAACACAGACACATTATTGAAACTACTATCACATTGCTTCATCACTCATATGTTCCCATTAAGTTTTGGTTTGATGCTGTTGCCACATCCACATTCCTCATTAACAGAATGCCTTCTAGTAGTTTACATCACAAGACACCTTTTGAAATGTTATTTCATACCATACCTGATTTCTCTCTTTTCAAAGTGTTTGGCTGTCAGTGTTTCCCTTGGTTAAAACCTTATGTTCCACACAAGCTAGCACCAAAATCCATGTCTTGTGTTTTCTTAGGGTACCATCCTACTATTAAGGGATATAGATGTCTTGAGCCTCTTTCTGGAAAAGTCTACATTTCTAGGCATGTTATTTTTAATGAATCATGTTTTCCTTTTTCTCAGCAGTCCACAGTGTCCTCTTCTTCATCTACTTCAGATTTATCTACCCTTACATCATTTTTCTGGCCTGCTGCACTCAATTCTTCAGCTGCCATTCCAACTCAGTCTCCTCTTCCTCTGTGTCTAACATCCATCCCATGATTACTCGATCTAAACATAGGCCTTCCCACTATTTTTCTGCTAAAAGTTCTCTTCTTGAAACTGAACCTACATCTGTTCATGATGCTCTTCACTCTCCTGTGTGGTTTCAAGCCATGCAAGAAGAATATCAAGCTCTTCAACAACAAGGCACTTGGGACCTTGTTCCTCTTCCTTCTCATAAAATTGCCATTGGGTGTAAATGGGTTTTTCGCATTAAAAGAGATTCAAATGGTACCATTGCTCGTTATAAAGCTAGATTGGTGGCCAAGGGATTTTTGCAAACAGAAGGAATTGATTTCCATGAGACCTTTAGTCCTGTGGCTAAACAACCCACCATTCGCATCTTTTTGAGTATTGCTCTTCAAGCTCAATGGTCCATCAAACAGCTTGACATTTCCAATGCATTTCTTCATGGTACTCTTCAAGAGGAGGTTTATATGCTGCAGCCTCCAGGGTTTGAACAATCTTCTACACATGTTTGCAAACTCAAGAAGGCCTTGTATGGTCTCAAGCAAGCCCCTCGGGCTTGGTACTCCACCTTCTCAACTTTCTTGCTCTCTCAAGGATTCACCAACAGTCTGTCTGATGCCTCTCTTTTTATCAGAAAAACTTCTACAAACCTCACTCTGCTCTTGGTATATGTTGATGACATCTTACTAACTGGTGATGATCCTGTTTTCATTAATCTGCTTCTTCAGCACATGCACACGTCATTTTCCATGAAAGACCTTGGTCCTTTGTCTTATTTTCTGGGCATTTCAGTTATGTCTGATGAGCATGGTTCCTTTTTTATCTCAAGCTAAATATGCTGCTGCCTTATTGAATAAAGCTGGAATGGCCGACTGCAAACCATGCTCCTCTCCTATGATAGTTAAAGCTGTGTGTTCTACAACAGATTCCCTGCCATTTGCTCAGCCATCACTATATAGAAGTTTGGTTGGTGGACTGCAATATTTGACTATCACCAGACCTGATCTCTCCTTTGCTGTTAATCAAGCATGTCAGTTTATGCATCTCCCTACCAATGCTCATTTTCATGCTGTTAAGAGGCTCCTTAGATATGTCAAAGGGACTCTACATCATGGTCTCTTTTTCACTCCCAGTTCTTTTGCTCTTTCTGCCTTCTCTGACTCTAACTGGGCCAGTGATAGCCTTGATCGAAGATCAACATCAGGCTACTGTGTATATCTTGGCTCAAACTTAATTTCATGGTCCGCTAAAAAGCAGGCCACTGTTTCTAGATCATCCACTGAAGCTGAGTATCGCGCCTTAGCTCATGCTACAGCCGAGCTCACTTGGATTCAACAATTGCTTAAAGACTTTTGTGTTTCTTCTTCTCCTGTTCCTGTCCTATGGTGTGATAGTTTATCTGCCATGGCCTTAGCATCCAACCCTGTTTTTCATTCAAGGTCCAAACATATAGAAATCGATTGTCATTTTATTCGCGAAAAAGTGGTTGCCAAACAGATTGAGCTTAAGTATATTCCAACCATGGATCAGGTAGCTGATATTTTCACAAAGCCTCTTCCTCCTTCCAGATTTCATTATCTTCGTGACAAGCTGTTAGTGGTTTCCTCCCCTATCAGCTTGAGGGGGGCTGAAGAAGTATGCTCATCCTCTGCTCATGGACATCAGTCCTCTGCTCACTGCACTCAGGTTTCATCACCATCTGCTCATGGCCAGCTGTCTTTGTCTGTTAGACCTGCACCATCACAGATCTGTAACTCTAGTGGAATTAGTTGTGGTGGTTAGACTAGTTTGTTATGAGTTAGTTAATTTGTTTAGAGTTAGTTTTAGGTTAGATATTTTGTATGCTTTAGATACTGTATATAAACCAATGTACCCAACAGATTTGAAATAATGAAAAATATAATAAGTTTCCAAGAATCTCATTACTTCTGCTGTAGACATGTTAATTTATGGTTATGCTCTTAAGTTTTTTTTATTTTTTATTTTTTTAAAGATAGAAAAAGACTCAAATGGACTATAGATTATTATTATTTTTTTTATGAGAAATGTAGACAAACAAAAAATAAAAATTAATTGAAAAAGTTATTTCACAGCTTATTTAACAAACACTACTCAGCAACTTAAATCTATAACCCAACAGCTACACCAAACAGATTAACAACTTCTGATTAAAGTCATAATCTATAATCTGTTAAGGTATAATCTATAAGTTGTTTTAATAGCTACACCACTTAGATTAGGTGTACAATTCAAACTTTCAATTAAAAAAGGAATAACACGAGCAATATATACTAATGGTCAAATATAACATAAATCACCGCTTACAAAGGCAAAAATTTTTCATTACAACAGTAATACCACATCAACATCACCGTCTAATAATAAATTACCATGTAAGCATAGCCTACCTTATTATGCAGATATTGCTAGTTAATGGATTGAATTAGATACAAAAATTACATTTACGTCGTGGTGTTAATAATTCAAAGAAGAGAGTTGTTTTATATCATCCAAAACATTTTATTAGAACTCTTCACTTCTTATATGGCTTTTCATGTGTTACGGTGAGTGCCAACTATTTCAATAAAGAGGAGTTTGGAACTTGGAGCTAACTTTGATCGCAATATTTTACTTAATACTTCACTTTTATGTGATTTCTTCTTATTATTTTTATAGTGGATCCAATATGTATAAGTGCAATTTATCTACACTTTAAATCCATATAAAAATCAAATAAAATCATAAAGCATCTCAATATATGTCATAACTCAATCCCGACAAGGCAAGCCCCACCGAGAGGGCAAGCCTTAAGCACTATAGCACCTGTGCACAATAATCACCTATACAATCCTTATGTGCACAATATCTAAACAATTTATGTGCACAATACCACCACCAATTAAACCATAAAGATCAAAAATCAATATTTTCATAAATCCAACAACTTAGGAAAAGCCACTTCAACAATTTATAAAATTCCTCCAAAACCATTTTATAGATCATAGAGATACCCAACCCACCATTTATCAAATCAATTTCAACATATAAATTTCCTAACATTAAAATTCCCAATGTATAAAACTCAATAACTAAAACTAAATCACCATAAATTTAATAATCACCATCTCAAACTCTAAAAATATAAAACATTAAACTAAACATTTTAGAGAGATATTCTTACCAATTAAAAACCTCTAATCCCTCAAGAAAAGAAACCCCAAGCTTTGATCCTTCAAGAGGTTAAGAAAAATCAAGAGTTGGAACTTCTTTTGTGCTATTTTTGAACAGAGAGGAGTGGCCGATCGGAGCTTTTCTCGGCAAGGTAAGATGGTCAGCGGTGGTGGAGATGGTGGGTTGAGGTGATGGTGAAAGGGTGGAGTAAAGGTGGGGTGTTTGGCTACCATGAAAGTAAGGGAAAATGAGAAAAAGATAGAGAGAAGAATGAAGACAAAATGAAATAAAAATCTGAATTTTTTTTTTTCTTTTTTTTTAGTTGAAAGGTAGTGTTTGGTCACACCTACAATCAAGTTTGGAGTTGGGTTTAGATATCTGAAGTGGAGTCTAACTTAGTGGGGTGTTTGGCTCTAGATAAATGTTGGGTATCTATACTATTATTAAGTTTAGGCCTAAATTGGTTCAGTTAAGCCTGAAGATCTAAATTGGTTTGGTAAAGTTTTCTTCTCCTTATTCCACGTGACAACTTTATATATGTTAAAATAAAAGAATAGACTATTATTAAGTAAAGGCCTAAATTGGTTTAGTAAAACTTTCTTCTACTCATGTCACGTGGCAATTTTATATATGCTAAAATAAAAGAAAATTATTATACACAGCGTAAACAAGTTTTAAATTCAAGACTTTCGGTTTCATTAACATACTTATCATTTAAGTAATATACATATTATGATATTAAATTCTTTATTATTTATTTTTATTATTAATTATTTGAATTGCACACGCATCGCGTGTATCATCCGCTAGTATTATATACTGTATTATTTTTCTAATTTTTCTTGTTTCTTTTAGGGTGCTCGAATCAGTATGAATCAACAACTACTTCATCATCGAATCACAATATCAAGAATTGCCCTCTTACTAGGAAGTCGACGAGCAGCTACAAATTACCTAAGCAAGTGCATATATTTAGTTGGAATGGGGAGTAATGATTACATTAACAACTACTTATTGCCACAGTATTACCCCACGAGTAGCCTATATACTCCAGATCAGTATGCAACAATCCTAATTCGTCAATACTCTCAACAATTAAGGGTTGGTATTTTATAATTTCTACATTCTTCTCTTTTAGGAATTAACTTGTACATTATCGGTTTGTTTTATACCATTTTGTGACATTACTTTGTAAATTTTTATAATTTATTTCTTACAGTTTTATTTTTTATGAATGTAGACATTGCATAAAGTTGGAGGATATAAGATAGTCACCATGGGACTTGGTCTAATAGGTTGTACTCCAGCTGAAATAGCTATATATGGCACAAATGGATCCACATGTGTAGACACGATTAACAATGATGTCCAACTTTTTAATGTCAAGCTTAAGTCACTTGTTGATGATCTCAATAATGATATGACTGATGCGAAATTCACCTATGTAAATGTTTCCGGAATTACATCAGGGGGAACATTTACTGCTGGTAAGTTCAGTTTTCTAACAAATTATTCAAAAATGTATAATGGAATCAGAACAAATTATAAAGTGCCATCATACTTGTGGCCTATGTAATTTGCTTCTTTTGTTATTTTTATTTTCATAGTTTCACATGAATTAATTTTTCTTCTAATTTTTTTGCATTATGTCAATTTTATTCAAAGGTAAAATGGTTCATTCAAAAGTTAGTTTCAAATTGAACTTCAACTTCTCAATCACTTTGATGAGAGTGAATGAAGCATTTTGCTTTTAATTTTAGTCAAGTTTGTTAATGGTCATACCGCCGTTATCATTTGTATCATTGACAAAATGTGAAATTTTTTAAAATATAATTGGTGTGATGAAAACTACAATGATTAAACCAAAAAGAAAAAAGAAGAGAAACTGCATAATTTGCCCAATAAATTATATTGCAGAATGTATATTAAAGTGATTTATTTGTTTCAGGTCTTACGGTTACCAATGTTCCATGCTGCATTGTATCATCAAGCACAGGACTATGTGTTCCCAATCGGGTTCCATGCAGCAATAGAAGCACGTACGCATTCTATGATGCATTTCATTCAACAGAGTCTGTAAATGAGTTTGTGGCTGCAAGAGCATACAATGCCCAAACTACATTTGATGCTTATCCAATTGATATTCATGGCCTGGCAGGACTCTAAGAATTTTCCTAAGCTAATCTTATGTCGCCATGATCTCAAATAAAATACGCTTTTTAATATGCTTTTTTTTTTTTTTTTTTTTACTTTTAGTTTTCTTATCTTTCATGTTGTTGTCTCATTTATGTAAAATAGGCTTATATGGAGCTACATAAAGAATTTAAATAAATTTAATATGATATTTAAATATCAACATACCCAGAATAATTTTTTTGTAGTTACGATGATAATTTCTAGAAATTGTGTGGGCTTACCGTCTGAATTCTAGATTTCTGTCAAGTGTACAAACTTACCTAGAATTATACATGAAATGTTTTGTAATTAATAATGTAAGAGGAGCTAATTTAAGCCCACTAAATTATTTAGGCCCAATAGCCCAAGATTAGTGGGTCCGAATTTATCGCAAGTCCATAAGTTTTTTTTTTTTTTTTTTTTGATACTTTAAGTTTTCTTATCTTTCATATTGTTGTCTCATTTAAGTAAAATGGGCTTATATGGAGCTACATAAAGAATTTAAATAAATTTAATATGATATTTACCCAGAATAATTTTTTTGTAGTTAAGATGATAATTTCTAGAAATTGTGTGGGCTTACCGTCTGAATTCTAGATTTCTGTCTAGTGTACAAACTTACCTAGAATTATACATGAAATGTTTTGTAATTAATAAAAACCTATGCTTGTCCTAATTTAATATTTAATTTTATTTGACAATTGTACTACAAAAATCAAGAAAGATCAATGCGATCTGTGAAGCCAAGATCTTTTATGTCATACATACAAGCATGGCTTTTGATTGTGATATTAACCTTTAGAAACTGTGATTATTTCTAAAAAAATCGAGGAAACAATGTGGGCGTTTGGGAAATTGTTATTTTAGTAGATTAGTTTAGTTTTTGACTACTTTCGTAGGCTAAAATTTTTGTGTTTGGAGTAGATAGTTGGATTTTTTTGTAGTTAGATGTGATATTTGTGGGAGAAAAAGTGAAATGATTATGGATTTGATGCGATATTTTGTCTTATTGACTATTTTAACCTATTTTATCTTTTTGTGAATTTTAATCCAAAAAATCAAAAAATAGCATTTGCCAAGAACTCATTCTTTTACTGAACCATGTTTTCGAGCATTACTAATCGTATATGATCTCTTGTGGTATTTTTAATCTCAGTTTTATTAACAAAAAACAAAAAAGTTAGTTCAGTGTTTTCAGCAGGTCAGACGTCCAAATTAGGGTGTGACACCTATACAGTGGCTTGGTACCTTCATAGCATAATCCATTTTGGATACTTTTCAGCAGCAAACAACATAAAAATGCCGTGGAGAACTTCTACAGCAAAGCTTAAGCACATCAATGACTTGGCACATCACTTAAAGGCCTAAGAGGGCCCAATCAACAACAACTCAAGAGCCCAACAAAGTTTTTAAAAGAAATCATATTGGGCCCAAAATTTAATATCACGGTCCACACATGGGAAGTTCTGAATAGAGCCCAAGAACTCTTTTGTGAGAATTACATCAAATTAATTTAAATTTTATTTAATCTGGTTTTAAATTTTGATAAATAAAATTGTGTTATCAATACAATTTCAAGTAAGAAATTTGTGAGAAACTCGCTCCCGTCGAGAAAGAATCTCAATCCCAACTAAGAGAGAAGCCTTTCAAACACAAAAATATCATAGAAATAAAAGAAAAATAACTCAAACTTATTCTAATAGTTTCTATTTATATAATATTTATTTATCCTTAACAAAGACAATTTGTTATTGACATAAATCTCTAATATTTATTCATGTTTTAATACATACACACCAACTAAGCCACACACACATATATATATATATATATATTATAATTATGTAAAAAAAAAAAATTGTTAGAATATCTTTATATATTTAATAAATAAATATATGCACGCTTCCAACTTAAGAATGTTTTATACGCCCTTCCTCCTTTGCCCCGCTATTGTTGCCACCCTTGCTTCGTGCAACTAAGATATAAATGCAACTCACAATCCAAAGAACACCACATAATTTGTGAACAAATGAAGAGAATATATGATCTGAACAAAACAAAAGCACAACAAAATTTAAATTAAAAATAAGTTAACAAAATTATCTCTCCAAAACTAGATTAAAAAAATTAGGCCATTGGAATTAGATTTAGGGCACAAATAAAAATTAAGCAAGTCCTCAAACAAAAAAACACAATGCAATTAATTACTTTCTTTAAAAAAATAATAAAAAAATAAAATAAAAACCAAGATACTAGATTAATAAGTAAAGTTCTCAAATCAAATAAGAACAGTGAATTTAAAACTATAATTAGGGCACAAAAAATAGATTTAGGGGTTGTTTGGGATGACCTAAATAAATGTACTTTTTGTCTTTTTATGAAAAGATATGCAGAAAAGTAAAGAGATGATATGATAAAAAATAATAAAAAGATAAAAAATATTTATTTATTTAAGATAACTAAACTTGACCTTAGTAGAGAGAGTGTGTGTGTGTGTGTGTGTGAGAGTGAGAAGCAGAGGACTCGTTGTCATAAAAATCACCGCATTGATTGCTTTGTCGGCCTTAGAATTTGAACTCACTGTTTGCTTTGTCACTATTTTCTATCATCGTTTTTTTTCTAATGCTTCAGTAAGAGTTACAGATTGGGAAGGAATAGAATGCACTGTGTTTAAGTGATAGATTTTTTTTATTTACAAACTTTACCCAATATATTTTGTAGTTTAATTTGAGCTCCCAAAATTTTGTTAGGCCACTTCTCTTTACTTGGTTGTGAAGTTAAAGAACATTGGGCTAGACCTCAATTTCGGGCTATTAATAATACATGGACAAAATTTTTGGGGGATCGTATTTACACCCAAAAAATAAGGGAAAATTACTTCCAATCCTATGTAGGAGATCTATTTCTCTTCTAATCCTACTATATTTTTTATAATCCAATAGGTCCACAATTTTGCACGTTTTTGTATCCGGAAGTCTCCCTTTTTTTTATTCTTATTTTGTAAATGATTGTATTGCCCTTTTAATTTGATATATATATATATATAGATGGAAAATCAATTTCCAGATTTCGAGATTCTCTCTCCGGGATCTCAACCTCTTTTTGCGATCTCGATCTTTCTTTACACGATCTCTCTCAATTTGTGTTTGTGTGATCTCTGTGTATGCTCTCTCTCTCTCTCTCTCTCTCTCTCTCTCGATCTCTCGATACAGATACGTATGTATATCAATAGATAAACAAATTTACGTGATCTCTTTTTTGTGTTCGTTAATTTTGTTATAGTTCTCTATTTTGTGATAAAAGTTGTTTGTTCGATGCTTATTTTGTGATTTTGTATGTGATAGTGTTATGTTTTTGATTTTTTGATTTTTTTTTTGTTGTGTAGTGTAATGTGCTGTGAATTGTAGTTTGACATTGTGAATTTTAAAGTTTTGAATCTGATATGTTGTAACTATATATTTTTGCTGTTTGGAATTTGTGATTGATTCTTTACTAGTTTTTAAGTTATAATATGGATGGGTGTTTCATGTTAATGTGCAAATACAGTAAGCCTTATAATGTTGTTAACATTAGTGATGGTTGTAGTTATGATGAAGTTGTTGAGAAAATATATGCAAAGTAGAAGAAGTTGATTGTTGGTAACTTTTGTTTGTTTTTGTCTATTCCTGGATATTCTTATTGTATTGTTGAAAGTGATACTGATTTGGGAAATATACTGTCAATGGTAACTTCTGGTGGTTCTCGTGTTGTTGATGTTATTGTGGGTGATAGGAGAATTGTGGGGGTTGATGATAATTCTTCTAGGATTGATTTTGTAGTTCGTAAGAGTTCTTTGGTTGATGATTATGATGATGTTGGTGGTTTATTGCCTAGTTTTTATCCAAAACCAGCGTTCCACGTTGCTTTCGCTAAGTATGTAGTTGAGTATGGTTTTGTAGTGAATTACTTAAAGAATGATGCAACAAGAGTAACTGATGAATGTAAGATGAAGTCGTCTATGGGTTGTAAGTGGTTTGTGCATGAAAGGATGTTGATGAATACTAATATTTTTTTTATTATGAAGTTGGATAATGTGCATACGTGTGTTGTTGTTGCTCGTAGATCTTGTAACAAAATGGTTGGTTCTAGACTTGTTTTTGATATTATGCATAATGACATTAGTGATAATTCGTTAACAAATCCCATTGAAGTTAAAAAGAAGTTGAAGAAACAATATGGGATAGATGTTTCTTATCGGGTTGCATGGTTAAGAGTGGATTAGGCTCGAGTAATCGTCAAGCCTAGATTTTGAGCATCTAGAACTTTTGCAGACTGACCAGATCACTCGAGCCACCAAATGTGCGCTCGAGGGAACACCCTGTTTTTAGCATCTTTTGAAAAACAACTTCATGTTTATATTTTTATTTCCATGTTCTTTTAGGCATTCTTGGGCATTGTTTAGGCTTCATTAAACAATGAATAAGTTGAAAACTCATTTAAGGAAATTGAATTAAGATATACCGTTTGTTTGGACATTGTGTTTCAATGTGTGTTTGTATGTGTTTCATAGAGGTTGGTCACCGGAAGCCTAATATCTGTTCAAGCCCACTGTGAGTAATATCTCTATAAAGATATATTCAAAATGTGTTTGAAAATTGTTACATGAATGATATTTTGAAATCTTATGTTTATATAAATGAATGAATGTCCCTTTTGAAATGTATTTATGGCATCCTTTAGTGAGGCCCTTGCTTAGGAGATACAATACCATGGTGTAGACGTCCTCGAACGTCCCAGGAGGGAAATCCCGTTTTGTTCATTTGGGCTCACTACAGTTCAGGACTCAAATGTCACGATCCCGTATCTAATCTCGCAGAGTGCAATGCAAGACCGATGAATCATCAAAGAGTCAAATCCGGCAAATCGTTTTTTAAAGCAGACTTTTTTTTAAAGAAGTACCAAACATGGACTGCTTTGCTAGATACAGAGTCGCCACCTAAATATTTTATTTTGAAAAATTTAGGAAACCTTGACTCATTTTCCTAAGGCCACGTGTCCGTCATTACCAAAGTTGCCTCGGCTCGGGAACTTGGGT